AGGAGTTTGAGACCAGCCTGGCCGACATGGTGAAACCCCATCTAAAAATACAAAAATTAGCTGGGTGTAGTGGTGCATGCCTGTAGTCCCAGCGACTAGGGAGGCTGAAGCAGGAGGATTGCTTGAATCTGGGAGACGAAGGTTGCCGTGAGTCAAGATCACACCACTGCATTTGGGCAACAATTCCAGCATGAAGGGGAAATGACAAAGAGGAAGGAAGCAAATTCAAATAAGAAATAAGCAAACATTGGTTGAGTGACATGGCTCATGCTTATAATCCCAGTGCTTTGGGAGGTCAAGGCAGGAGGATTGCTTGAGCCCAGGAGTTTGAGACCAGCCTGGGCAACATGGCAAAACCCCATTTCTACCAAAAAAAAAGTAAAAAACAAAATAAGAGCAAAATTAGAATTCTATTTATTATGCATTTTATCACCTATGAACACTTCCAAACAGATGATAGAATTTAACCCTCTGAGCAATTTTGTGACCTAGGCAGGGCAAATAGCATTGAGTCCACTTTAAAAATAAGAGGATATAGGGACAGCCTATGACATAAGAACTAAGTAGACAAGCTGGAAATGAAGTCCAGATCTGTGTCCTTCACAGAGCTCCTTCCATTGGCTATGATGGTGTCCAGAATAAGGCCAACCTAGTGATTGTCGCAAAACAGCTGACCTCTCTGCACATCATCTGGTATTTCCATTATGAACCGATGGCTGTCCAATGTTTACTAGCTCCCATTAACCTCAAGCAACCAGCAAGTACACATTTCAAAAAAATGCACCTACACGTTTATATGATTCCATCCATCACTTCCAGGAACTTGCTGGATTTCCTTGAGCCCTGCTAAGCCTGCATTTGGGTAACACTCCAGCAGGACAGAAGAAAGTGTCTTGGAATTAACATAACCGTCTTTTTCCTTAACTTCAGGTGCCCAGGATTGGGTCATCGTTCATGGAACACTCTCATCACTGGCCCATTCAAGACTCTCTTTTATTTTAATTATATGTAGTTTAACAAACATCTGTGAGCTCACTGGTCAATCCATGAACTAGAATGTTATCAACAACATAGATCTACCTACTTCTTCCCAATGCAATCCTGGTTCTTCTCTCACACAACAGTAATTTGGTGTCGTTTGCCAATAGTTGGCATGAAAATGTGCTTTTGTTATCTTTTTGCATTAAGTAGAAAATTGGGCTAAGCAACCATAAGCTATGTTCTGCATCTGAGGGTCTGTGATTTAGTAAGCCACATCCCCCATCTCTTCTCTCTCTTTCTCTCTTTCTTTCTTCCTTTTCTTTCTTTCTTTCTTTCTTTCTTTCTTTCTTTCTTTCTTTCTTTCTTTCTTTCTTTCTTTCTTTCTTTCTCTCTTTCTTTTTCCTTCCTTCCTTCTTTCTTTCCTTCTTACTTTCTTGCTTCCTTCCCTTCCTTCCTCCCTCCCTCCCTCCTTCCTTCCTTCCTTCCTTCCTTCCTTCCTTCCTTCCTTCCTTCCTTCCTTCCTTCTTTCCTTCCTTC